AGCAGCAGCAGCAGCAGCAGACGACGTCGTCGTCGTCATCATCATAGAAGCTTATTCATTTTCACCAGGCTGCCGCTCGTTGGCGAGAAGCCGGGTTGTTTGCGATACCACGTCTGGCAGTATGTGGACCGCCTCAGCTCAAGATGCCGGGGTCGTGAATCTTTGGGGTCAACATCTGTTAAGGGTTTATCAAACTTCGGATTTGCATGGGCTTTGGGCTTGCAGTCTCATCCTACCACCAAGGTTGTCACTGCTAATACTACAACTACCACTGCTGCCGCTACTGCCAATACCAAAAACAAGACCTCTACCGCTACTACCACAACGACTGATACTACCGCAGGCGCTGGCAAATGAGGGAAGCTGGGCAGTGTCCTGCAGTCCGTCAGCCAAAAAAGTGTAAGCCTAAAGATACCACTGCCAAAACAGAAGACGTGCTGAAATCCTCACATCGAAATACGGAGCCACTGCAGCCTGTACTGCTTGAAAGCCACACGCACTGAGGCTCTGGAGCATACAGCCCGATGCCCCGCCCAAGGTCCCAGAACTTCGATTACTTGGAGGATCATGGGACTTAGTAAGTAAGGTTATAAGTACCCTAACTGGGGTTATAATTATAGTTACCTTAATTATAACCTCAGCTACTAAGTCCCATGATCCTCCAAGTAAGTGTATTTCAAGACGCCCGCGGCCCCCAGGGTTTAAGGCCTTAGAACCTCAGGAGATCAAGCCAAACGCGTAGAGCAATCGTAAAAGACCAAAGCTCGAACTCCGAGAGTGCTAAACACCCCAACTATCGATAATGTAGAAGCCTTGACAATTAGTTTAGGGTTTAGGGTTTAGGGTTTTAGGGTTTAGGGTTTAGGGTTTAGGGTTTAGGGTTTAGGGTTTAGGGTTTGATAATGTAGAAGCCTTGACAATTAGAATAGAATTTTGGGGTCTGGCATACTATAAATATAATAAGGAACCACCAGAATAGTAGGAAACTATTTTGGCTTCCATATTAGAGCCGGGCAGCTCCCAAGGCTCTGTACCCGACAGAGCCTGCCACGGGCCAAAAGGCTTCAGGAAGGCGAGCCTATGGACTAAATAGTTCATTCCCCAATACCCAACCTTTAAAGGGATCTGTAGGGCTACTTTGTAGGGATATATAGGGTTCCTTTAAAGGGATCTATAAGGTTCCATAACTTAGTTCCCCAATACCCAACCTTTAAAGGGATCTATAGGTTCCTTTATAGGGATATATAGGGTTCCTGTAAAGGGATCTATAGGGTTCCATGACTTAGTTCCCCAATACCCAACCAACTTTTGGAGTTCTTATAAGTTAGAAGTACTTGGAGGATCATGGGACTTAGTAAGTAAGGTTATAAGTACCCTAACTGGGGTTATAATTATAGTTACCTTAAATTATAACCTCAGTTACTAAGTCCCATGATCCTCCAAGTAATCTGAGAGTTTAACCTTTTATTTCCCTGACTTGTTGGGGAAGTAAGAATAATAATTAGAATAAGGCTTTAGGGTCCTTTATAGTATAAATATAACAAGGAACCCCCAAAATACTGTAGGTAAATTATTGAGGCCCCTATGCTAGGGTTTGGATTCATGACTTCATGGTATGGTTTTTCATAGAGTTCTGAAGGAGACAAGGGCCCCCGATGCCTAAAAAGTCAACCTAGCAAGGATTGCCGTTGTACTGGTACTGGCGTGTAGCCAGGGAGCGCAATACCCCTTTGAATACGGAATATACCCTAAATTACAGGGACCTGAATTTTAGGATCTAAGGTAAATTCCTTGATTCAGGGGTAAAATGGGCTCTCTGTGTAGGAGTCTCAGGCTTCATCATGGAGTTTCGGGACTAAGATTGGGATTGAGGGTTTAGGGTTCTGAAATAAATGCCCGGTAACCTAGGACTAAAAAGGGCTCCCTTTTTGGTATTGGGCACCTTTCTAACCCTAAACCCTAAACCCTAAACCCTAAACCCTAAACCGATTATAAGGAACCTAAGACTCCAAAAAGGTAAAAAGGACAACTGGGAGACCCAGGGTTTAGGGTTTTGGGATTTTTGGTTTAGGGTTTAGGGTTTAGGGTTTAGGGTTTAGGGTTTAGGGTTTAGATCCTTTATTCAAAACAGGACTTGCCTGGACTAGCTGTGAATCCAGAAAATCTCACAGCTGAAATCACCACACCCTGCGCGGTTTAGGGTTTAGGGTTTAAAGGCCCAAAGCCAGGGCCCAACTAGCTCCCTGCTTCATAATACCCACTTTGATAGTAGGGGATACTAACATGGGAATCGTAATCCAAGAAGGCCCTAAACCCTAAACCCTAAACCCTAAACCCTGAACCCTAAACCCTAAACCCTAAACCCAAGCCCTAAACCCTTAAAGAAACAGTGTTTATTCTGAATTAGCTTCGACCCCACAGGCTTGAAGGCCAAAAACCCTGAAACCCGGAAAAGGCCAAGCACGCCCACAGCTGGAACGCAGTCACAAGCATTCTTTTAGGGTGTAGGGCGCGGGCATCTCGGAGTCCCTCTCTGCCCTGCAACACACCTTATAAAGGCTTAGGGTTTAGGGTTTAGGGTTTTGGTTTAGGGTTTAGGGCACCCTAAACTGCAAACCCTTAACCATTACACCCCAGAACTCGCTTGAAGAACCCTCCTAGCCCTAGAGCCGAAACCTTAACCCAAACCCTAAACCGAAACCCCTTGGAACCCTACGTCGCGACCCAACGCCGCGTGGAACATCCCTGGCATCGCACTAGCAAAACCCTGAAGCAGCTCCAAGAGAACCCTACAAAACTTGTAGGGATCATATGACAACCCCAAAAGAACCCGATAGAAACCCCCTCAGAACCCAAGCAAGAAGCCACCCTCAACACCAAACAACTCCTAACCTTTAACCCCAACTATGTGCCTGTGATCTGAGCACACAGGCACGCGTTTTCGGACATGACTCGAAGCCTCAACGAAAGAGCCACGGCTTCATCATACAGGGGCCTTGTCGATGAGACTAGGGTTTCAGGGTACATGATCGAAAAGATAGAATAGGGACTTGTAGGGGATGTGATTAGCCTTGATTTCGTTACATATAATACCAACTGTTCCGATCCCTACATTAGGTAGGCTTCAGTTGTAAGGTTCAGGGTGTGTGGGTTTAGAGTTTCAGGATTCAGGGGGCTTACTTTCAGGATTGCATACTTGGGAGCTTTTGCGGCTCAGGGCTTGTAAGCGGTTCAGGAATCTAAGCATTTAGGCTTTGGGGGCTTGACTTCAGAAATGGGCAACTGAATCTGCACTGTAGGGTCAATCCAAAGCTCAAGGGATCTGTCGATTTTTTGGGCTTGGGAGATTTCACTCAGTGTTTATTTACGGTTGACTCTCTTGAACTGTTATGCACAAGGCTTTTCATGTCGGGTGGTAAGATGCCCTTATTGGGGCTTCTTAATGTAGGGGCCTTAATAACTAGAATAGAGTTTTGGGGTTTCCTTATTATAGTTGTAGGATATTATGCCCCCAAACCCTCTTCTAATTACTCAGGCCCCTAAACCGTTAACCCTTATAGCAGCCCATATAGTAACCCTTTAAAAACCCCAGTCTAATTACAGGCCCCTTTTTTACGCCATTTGCATCCGGACGAGTCAGGCTTCACCCCGTGAGGGCCCTGTGGGCCGGTCCAAAGCCTGGTAACTAAGGAATCTACCTTAAATTCTAGGGGCCTTAGAGGGATCTATAGGGGTTTAGGGTTTAGGAGTATACCTTAAATTCTAGGGGCCTGAGTACTATGATTTAAGGTATATTCCTTGGTTAAGGGGTATTGGGCAATCGGCGACCTCATGCCTCCAAACTGAAAGCGTGGTTTAGGGTTTATTGTTTAGGGTTTAGGGCATTCAAACCCTAATTCCCTAAATCCCTCAGCTGGGCAATCGAGTCCTCACTGCTTCTGAGCTTCTGGATTGATTCGTTCTTGGTTTGGACCTTAAAATTAAAACAGAAGCCTCATACCCGGGAGCCCTGAAAACCTGAAGCTCTGAATGCTAACCTCCGAAATCATGAACCCAAAGAGCCCATTTTACCCCATTAATTAAGGTATATACCCTTAAACCATTATATTAAGGCCCCAATTATTTAAGCTATATTCCTTATTTAAGGGGTATTGAGCTCTCTGGGTGAATCTGCACAGTTGCGCCTACGCCCCAAGCCGTGAACCCTCTTGTAGTTGCGCGCGGGAGACTGTGACAGCCGTCCGTGTTGGCACAGAAATACTCACAGCTTCGCAGCGAAGCTCGAGTGAAGCCAACCCGATCCTCAGATATTGGATTTAACATGTCATATAATATGCGTAGTGTTATTGTAGTATATTATATTTAGGGTTTAGGGTTCGGGGCTTGGGGTTTAGGGCCTTTGCGATGCGAAGGTTTGGATGCAGCGGTTGTAGGGATGATAGGTTAAAATCTAGGGCATACCAGGCTTCGCACCTACCTTTTACTCATCTTCACTCTGCATACCACTTCCATCCGCTTCCAAACAACCAGTTCCAATCTTTCCTGCAGCATCACCCTAAACCCTAAACCCTCACAGCTGTGATTCTGGGGGGCTTGATGGGCCAGGGAGGCAGCTTTTGTCGTAGTGCCTGGGGCTTCGTGGGTTTGTTCGGCTTGAAATCTACCGGGCTCAACACTGTCTGGGAATTTGCTTACGATTTGCCAAATTTAAGATCGGAGCAAGATTAGTCTTTGAAACCTAAACCCTAAACCCTCTTGTATTTCAGAGACTCGGGCTTCGCACTGAAGTAGCCGTCATCATGTCTCAGAGCAGCTGCTTCGCCCCCAAACCCTATTCAACCATGATTACATACGGCTTTGTACCCTAAACCCTAAACCCTTAACACCAATTCTAACATACGGCTTATAGCGTTTAGGGCTTACAGAGTTTTGGGACAGGAAAAACCCTAAACCCTAAACCCATCCTTAGCCAAGCAGCGCCGGGAGACGTTGCCTCAGCTTAGGAGACGCCGGCTCTTTTGCTGGCAGGGCTCGGGGTCCCAGAGAGCCCAATACCCCTTAAATAAGGAATAGACCTTAAATTCTAGGGGCCTTGAAGGGATCTATAGGGGTTTAGGGTTTAGGGTTTAGGAATATACCCTTAAATTATAGGGGCCTGAAATTTAAGATTTAAGGGTCTATTCCTGAATTAAGGGGTATTGGGCTATCTGGGGTATAGGGCTTGGGACTACTAAAAAACGTGGTTACTGTTGCAATTCTGTAGCTGTTCCTTGCCATAGTGCTAATGTAGGGGCGTTAATAATAATAATAATAATAATAAGAGGAACCCCCACAACCCTATTCTAATTATTAAGGCCCCTACACTAGCTACATGCGAAAACGCGCTCGTGAGCTTTCCACAGACCGGGAACTCCCAGGCAAAGCTGTACCTAGAGGGTCCCAGTACCCAAATAGTATGGTTTTAAGTCCCAATATCCATACTCTGAATGGTTTTTGGACCTTGAATCCCTACTATTTCTTGGACCCTTAGGGGTAGGCTTCATGGCAGCGCGATGCACAAGGCAGGGGAGTGAGCCCGGTGCCCGGCCTCCACAGCCGCCAATCAGTTGCAAACCCAACAAGCCGGCAAGAGTGACATGTTTGAGGCTTCATACATAAGAAAAGTTTCAGATCATACATCCTGTTGTCTCGGGCTTGGGACTTGTGGTTCAGGGCCTACTGTGGTGAGGTGTATCTCCATGGTTATCTGTCTCATAGCTATCGCTTACTCAAGCTCTGTCCCTGCTTCCAAGGTGCCACCTTGTGCCAACCATGGTCCAGAGGATAGAAGCGCCTTGATCCCACACTTGAACCACACTTCCAGCTTCAAATAATCAGGTTTTAGGGTTGTGGGACTGCGGAACCCAAGCCCAAAATCCCTGCTCCTTCTTTCATTCACTTCATATGGTTTCGGGGGGAAGCACCCAGGTGGAATGTCTCCAGGACGACCGGATGGCACAGGTGCAAGCGATTGATTCGAGCCTCGCAGCTGGCTACCATGTGTCCAAGCAGTCAGGTGAGCAGCTACACCGACCTACATGCCAAAGTCCTCAGGACACCTTGATGCCTTTAAAGAACACCATTTTAAGGCAGATGGGAGGAAGACAGCAAATGCGTATGCAACAGCTCTAAGAGCCCTAATTAAACCCTACACCCCATGATCCCAAAGACCCTGTTTAGGGTTTAGGTTTTAGGGTTTAGACCCCGAAGCCCCAAAAGCAGAGCCAGGCGACGGCATGCCCGAAGCCTCGCTATCTCGAGCCATTGCAGCCGCCTCCTGTTGGAAGTCCATGGCCTCATCCGGTTTAGGGCTTAGGGGTTTAGGGTTTAGGGTTTAGGGTTTAGGGTCATGGAAGGCCAGCATTTTCTGGTTGAAGTCTAGGACTTGTGCTTATACCGTGCAGCCTTACGTTGAGACCTTGCGTGTCTGTTAGGCCCATGAACGACCAGTACCAGAAAAGGAGTGGATGGATAGATAGATAGATAGATAGATAGACAGACAGACAGATAGATAAATAGACGGATAGATAGATAGACGAGCAGAAAGAAACATAGGTAGATAGGTAGGTAGATAAATAAATAGAAAGATATGCAGATGGAGAGACAGACAGAGAGACAGACAGCCAAACAGCCAGCCAGACAAACAGCCAGGCAGGCAGGAGGCAGGCAGGTGGGCAGGCAGGCAGGCAGACTGACAGGCAGATAGCTCAATATATATATATATAGACAGATAGGAAGATCGATCGACAGACAGATGTACACATCCAAGTACGCATGCATCTATACATGTATCTATGTCGATATGTATGCACAGATTTATGCATGCATGCATTCTGTAGTTATGTACGTATGTCTGTATGTACGCATGCATGTGTATGTGCATGTACGAAGTGCAGCAGTGCAGTGCAGTGCACAGTGCACACAAATAAATACGTATGCACGAAACAGTAACTTCACTCCCCACCTCGAAAGCATCGGCCTCGTCTACAAACTCAGAGACCTGGCAGTCGTGTGAACAAAAATGCTGGAGAACTGACTAGGGGCGGAAGGGCTCGTGATTTAGGGATACTTAGGGTTTTGGGGTTTCTGGTGAAGGCCGAAGGCTTTAAGGGAGTAAGTGTTGAGAACCAGAGGGAAAGAAGCTAAACGCTTCAGTCTCGGCGGGCATCGTCCAGGAGGCTTGAAAAGGACGACGACTTCGCACAAGCCGCGTTTCGGGTTTAGGGTTTAGGAGCTCCACTGCACCGGATTTCCGTAGGATCCCTTAACCCTCGAGCCTCAACCCAAAATCCACGAGCCTCCTAGGGGTTGGCCAGCTTTGAGTGCTCGTAGATAAGATGGACCTCTTCGATAATTCACCCCACATACCCGAAATCCTAAACCCTAAACCCTAAATGAATGCCCGAAACCCTAAACCCTAAACCCCAAGCCCCTAAACCCTAAGCCCTAAACCCTAAACCCCTCAGCCCTAAACCCCTGCCTGAACCCTAAACCCCTAAGCCCTGAACCCTAAAACCCTAAAACCCCACACCCTAAGCCCTAAGCCCTAAACCCTAAACCCCTAAGCCCTAAACCCTAAACCCCGAAGCCCTAAACCCTTAAACCCCAAACCCTAAGCCCTAAACCCTAAAGCCCTAAAGAACTAAACCGCCCAGCCTTCTTCTGGCCCGTCAGCTGAAGGGCACCCAGGGCGCACCTGCCCCAAAATCCCCCAACATTCATTTCAGAAGTGTTTTATAGGGATTCTAAGGATTCGTTTAAAGGTTCCTTTAACGGATCTATCAGGGATTAGGGTTTAGGCGCCAAATCTCCAAACCATTCATTCCAGAAGGGTTTAAAAGGGATTACAAGGGTTCCTTAAGGGTTCCGCTAAGGGATCTGTAAGGGATTTATAGGGCTTGGGGCTTAGGCCCCAAATCCCCAAATTCATTCCAAGAGCCCCCCCCAGAGAGCCCAACTTACCCCTTAATTAAGGAATATACCTAATCTTAATATTGAGGCACTTATAAGTTAAGGTATATTCAGTATTTCTCCAAATTCATTCCAAGACTGCATCTTGGGGTCTAATAATAAGGGTACCCCTTTTCCTGCTCTTCGGTGGGGGCCCTACAGAAAACGGGCAAAAGGATACTACTCAGAGCCCCCTGTCTTGGGGGAGCGTGATACCCCTTTATTTGGAGCCCGGGACAGGGCCAGGGTTTAGGGGCTTTCATCTGTTTGTCAAGGGGTCTAGGTCTCCTAAATTGTCAGGGTTCAACAAAAGCCCAACTCTTTTCAGGAAGCTATTTAATACTGCTTCAACGCCTCAACCCTCTTGGAGAATCAGCAAAACCAAGCGCGAACATCTTTGCGCAATTCAAACTGGGGCTACAGTGGGATGCAGCTTGCAATAGCAGCGAAGCTACCCTCGTGAAGACCCTACTTGCTACGTCCGTTTGTCAGATCCTTCAAGCAATTACACCCAACCCGTTCTGAAACCCCTCCATATCCCCTGTATAAACCTTGTGAAAACAGCTTGTTTTGAAAACCCATTACAACCTCATTTCAACCCTAAAACCTAAACCCAAAATCCAAATCCTGTTGTCGAGTGGCGTCTCATCCTGGCATTCATCATCCTTTTCGATCGCGGATGGGAGGGTAGCAGCAGCCAAAGCCGGGACCTAATGCAGGGCTTTAGGGGATTCGTTTTTAAAGGGTACTTGGAGGATCTTGGGACTTAGTAAGTAAGGTTATAAGTATTGGGGTTATAATTATAGCTACCTTATTTATAACCCTAGTTACTAAGTCTCATGATCCTCCAAGTAGCTCTAGTAGAGTTGCACCAGGGTCCTATTGGAGGTCAGCGTGAAATCTGGCGTCTCGACTCTGAAAATTTCGTCGGGTTGCTTGCACCGTCTTCCTACACTTGGAGGATCATGGGACTTAGTAAGTAAGGTTATAAGTACCCTAATTGGGGTTATAATTGTAGTTACCTTATTTATAACCCTAGTTACTAAGTCTCATGATCCTCCAAGTACACCCTCACACCACAGCATCAGCCGCAGTGGCCTAAACCCGTAAAGCTCAGAAACCCAAGCTCACGCAATATAGGGCATGATACCAGCCTTAACTCTTCGACTTTGGTGAATAGGGCTCCGGTGTACGATGTACTAGAGATGTGCTAGGGCAGCCTATCGAATAACCTTGATCTGTACTTAACATGGGGGCCTTGATAATTGGAATAGGGTTTTGGGGGATCGTCCTTGTGCCGCAGCCCAGGAGTTTCGACATCTCCAAGACTGTCGTAAATGGGGTCAGGGCTATTTAGGGCTGAGGGCTTAGGGGTTAAGGCTATTTAGGGTTTAGGGTGTGGGCCATACGCCCTAAGCCCCTAAACCCCTATGCCGTAAACCCCTGAGCCCTAAACCCCCAAAAAGACCCGAAGTACAGTAACTACGAAAGCTTCAAACCCCTAAACCCTACTTGGAGGATCATGGGACTTAGTAACCAGGGTTGTAAATAAGGCAACTATAGTTATAACCCCAATTCGGGTACTTATAACCTTACTTACTAGGTCCCATGATCCTCCGAGTAAAGGAAACTCAAAGGGGTCCAACCCTAAACCCTAAACCCTAAACCCTGAACCCTAAACCCTAAACCCTAAACCCTAAACCGGATTTGGAGCTTGTGGTCCGTTGCGCATCTCGGAAAACTTTCGCCAAGACACTTCTGGCATCAGAGTTGGGAGGCTTTGGGTCTATGGTTTATCGGGGTTTAGGGTTTAGGGGTTTAGGGTTTAGGGTTTAGGGGTTTAGGGGTTCATGGGGGTTTAGGGTTTAGGGGTTCACAGGGGTTTAGGGTTTAGGGGTTTAGGGTTTAGGGGTTTAGGGGGCTTAGCGTTTGAGGGTTTAGGGTTTATAGGGGTTTATAGGGGTTTAGGGTTTAGGGGTTTATGGGTTCAAAGGGATTTAGGGGTTTAGGGGTTTTATAGGGGTCTAGGGTTTAGGGGTTTAGGGGTTTATAGGGGTTTAGGGGTTTAGGGTTTAGGGGTTCGGGATTAGGGTTTGGGGTTTAGGGTTTATAGGGTGTAGTGGTGCGCGCCCTGCTACGACAGTTTTTGGGGTTTGCCTTGCTTCGGACCCTGGGAGGGTCCCTCAGAAAGCGGCAACAAACGGCGAGGCCGGAAACCTCGAAAAGTTTGGGTTTAGTGCTTAGGGTTTAGGGAACCCTAAACCCTAAGGTTTAGCGTTTAGGGTTTAGGGTTAGGGTTCGAACTTAGCTGGTTTGGAGTTAGCAGAAAGTGTAACGGACTATCATCTTGCGCGAAATCCCTGAATCCGCCAGGAAGACCGAAAAGCCTCATGAAACCGCTGTATGTACATGTATATAACTGCATACACCTGTATAAAGGCTAATTACCCTGAAAACAAAACCTAAGCTGCCTGGAGCGCGGAAAGAAATCAGATCTAGCCATTTAGGGTATTAGGGTTTAGGGTTTNNAGGGTTTAGGATTTAGGGTTTGGGTGCTAGATTGTTGGACTCAGGGGTTTAATTGTGGCATTTGGGGTCTCGGGTTGAGGGCTTCAGGTTTCTGAAATTTAGTACGATGGCTTAGGGTAGGGTATGGCATAGGAAATGAATATGTACGAGTATAACGAACTATCCAGACCCCTACATTATTGTGCTTATCACCTGAGCTTCGCACACCGACGGCTGCCACCAAACGCCGCCACATCCCCTTAGTGCGGCAGCGACATATGAGCCACACCACATCGAGAATAAACCCTTAACCCCAAAATCCACATGTTCACCTCATACCGATGACGACATGGGCAACCACAGCCTTATTACTGCAAAGTTGAAATACCAGATTTTCACTGAGGACTACAGACCACCTGGAGTTGTGCGAAGTGCCTGTTCAGCCCCCCCGCCCCCCCCCCCCTCCCCTGACTGAGCCGCACTAGGCAGCCGACCATTTCGGCTGAAAGGAGCGCTTTTGAAACGACTTCAGAGTTAAAGAGGGGATGTGATTCTTCGATTTGAGCCAGCGGTTTCAAACATTGCCATTAGGACCTGTACCCTGAACTCGAAGCCTTCTAACTGTGCTCTCAAGGGTCTGGGACAAGAGACTCGCTGCCCAGGGCGGGCCTCTTTTCCGAAGGATACGGAAGACATGTGGGTAGTTGTCAAAAT